TAGGCAAGTGTATACTTTATCGCACTCGGCCTAAACGATTGTGAAATTTTTAATGATTGAATGATTGAAATGTTATTTGTGCATGAATGTAAGCCTTTTGGCTGAACTGGCCATTGCCCCTTGTTACCGGTCGTCTCAAGCCAGAAGCGGACTCGGTCGGGCGATTAGGGACCTGGTTGAACGTTTTGGTACACTCGAGTATTACCTTGTAGGTTGGTGGAGATTGGTGGAGCCTGGTGAATGAATGAGTGAACGAATGAATGAATGAGGGTTTTACTTATATACAAATGCATTTTCAAATGATTGAAGGTATAAGGGAACGAAAGGAGAATGAATGAACGAATGAATAAACGAATGGCTCCTTGTGAGCACGTATCCTTTTAATGAAGGTGTTTATCGCTTTCTTTTGTATTTGAATTATTGGTAACATGTAATGAATGCATTGAACTTCTTATTGCCTATGTGTTCGGAACCTCACTGAGCTTATAACTCACCCCTTTAGTTTGTTTTCCTTAACAGGGGAAGGCGAGCAAGGACGAGAGCCGGTATAGACTAGCTGGGTCTAGCCTTTGGTTTTCTTTTGCCATGGTTCTCGCCCTAGTGCTTGGCACAGGCTGGTTGTATAGTGATTTGAGAACCTCTGTATATTTGACGGTTGTACTTCTTCTTGAGATATTATTGTATATACGTTTTGTTTTAAGTTGGATCGTGGTTAGATTTTCTTATGGTTGCTTGAAGTGATCGATTGAGTCCCGGCGAGAGTTGGGCAGGCAGTCCGCCGAACCCTTTGGTTCGCCTTAGGGGAAAGTGGGGCTGTCACATTTGTGCTAAGTGTTATTATTATACAAGGTGATAGAGGATAATTAGAGGTTTGTTATATGATGTAACCATTGGAAGCCAAGGATTAGAAAAAAACACTAGAAGGGCCAAGTGTTGCAAACCCATTGGAGGTTGGACTTTGACCTCATTTTCACGTTTACTAAAAACCAAATTTTGACCCAAAATATCTTCATTTTTCTTGCTTCTTGGCCGACTCTCTTGAGGGGAGAAACAAGAGAGAGCTCTTCAATTTCTTGCTTCCAAACTTGCTCAAATCTTGAGTTTTAGCCAACCAAATTTGAAACTACACCATACAAGTGCTCAACTAGGAAGTTTGATGGTTTTGGTGGAGTTGTTTTGGAGGAGGAAAGACTAAACCACTATCTTCTTGTGGTTTTAAGGTATCTTGTCAAGAAATATCTCTTTACTTTTAATACTAGATTCGTTGTTAGCTTATTTGTGGTTCAAAGGTGCTTGTAATGCTTATATCAAGTGATTTTGGATGGTTGGGGGTGATGAATTTGAGTTAGGGTTTGAATGATTCACTTATCATATTTATTGTGTGGGTGGTATATGATGTATATAAGGTGGTATAAGAGGTGGTAGTGATGGTTTCAAGTTAAAAATGAGATTTATACCTTGATTGTAGCAAATTTCCAGAATTGAAGTTAAGGTATACCCTGTTCTGCCCGGTTCTAGTTCACCATGTGAGAGGCCGAATTAAGCTTAGCCTAAAATATGAAAGTTGTAGAGAATGATGTTTTATAGTTTTCTACAAAATTTCAACTGAATCGGAGCAAAGTAGCCTATGAAAAGACCGAAATACCCTGACTGCCCTAGGTGAATCCAGTGATCAGTTTTGAATATTTCACCAATCTGGTCGTGTCTTTTCACCATGATATGTACTGAACTAGTGTTTAGCCAAAACATGAAAGTTGTAGTATTATATCTTAGCTTTCCAACTCCTCTAGAAACGCCTCAATTAGACTTCGATAGCCTGAGTTATTGTTGTTTACGCATAGTGTGGTTAACTGACCTGTTTGTGAGATTCTGGTTCTGTAATTCAAAATTTTGACCTAGATACACTACGAACTGGACTAAGTGGTCTTCATCAAAGTTGTATCTCTCCGTCTTAGCTTCAAAAGGGTATAATTTGCACCTCCATCCGATAAGCATAGCCTCGGTTGTGTCCGTTACGCAAAATAATGTCAAATCTGTCTTTTGTTTCTTGACGCAAACTTCATTTCCGCACATGTTCCTAGCTTGATTTTGTACTTATATGACTTTGAGCCTATGGAATGGCTATTGAAATGAGATGATTTTGTGTGTGACTTTGGGATTGATTGAGGAAGACAATGAAGCCATAAATGGCTGGAAAATAGGTAAATACAAAGGGCGTGCTGCCCAAATTTTCGCTCGAGGGTTAGGTAAATATACTTGCGACTTGAGCAAGACTTGAGAGCGAATACCACTTGAACTATTTAGGATATTGGTGTCTTCTTTTATCGAGGTATATAAGTTAGAACTTAGCTGGAACTTGTACCCTTGGAAAAAATGAAATTTACGACTAATAGAAATACATTTTCTTTGTCACTTCGACTCAAATGGAGATTTTAAAGTTTTACGAGTGAGCATAAGTTTTACAAATATTTTACTTATGTCCTTTGGTTTCAATATACTTTTTTCACTACCAAAACCATATTTATATTTTGTACTAGTACGTATTCGAATTTTCTTTGAATCACTTAAATCTTTGATAGTTGAAGGATAATATGTTCTTTTGATTATATTAGGGTTCCTTGGTGATTGAGGGTAATACCCGGAAGAACACTTTGGACGTTATTTTGCGTAAATAGGTGAATGTTCATTGTTTGTTATGTTTCCATGAACTATATGATTTGTTGTGGATATTTGATTAAATGATAAATATTTGTTACAAATGAATTTTGCTAGATGAGTGTGTACTTTATCACACTCGACCTAAATGAAATGTGAAATTTTCAATGTTTAAGTGATTAAATATTAGTTGTGCATGAATGTAAGCCTCTTGGCTAAACTAGACCCTACCCTTCGTTACTGATCGACTCGAGCTAGAAGCGGACTCGGTCGGGCGATTTAGTGACCCTGGGTGAACGTTTGGTATACTCGAGTATTACCTTGTAGTCTGGTGGAGCATGGCCAACGTCCAGGAGGGGGTGAAATGAAATGAATGAACGAATGTCAATGTAAATGAAGGGTTTTAGTTATCAAAATGCATTTTTAAATGAAAGGAGAATGAATGAATGAATGACTGAATGGCTCCCTGTGAGCACGTATCCTTTTAATAAATGTTATTATTGCTTTATATTGTCATGTTTCTTGAATTACTTGTTATTTATGGTTAATGCATTGAACTTGTTGTTTGATTATGTATTCGGAACCTCACTGAGCTTTTAGCTCATCCCTTTAGTTTTGTTTTCCTTAACAGGGGAAGGCGAGCAAGGACGAGAGTTCGGTTTAGACTAGCCTAGACTAGTTTCTGATTCTGTAATGGTTCTCGCCCTACCTTTTGGCATGGGTTGGATGTATGAAGAATTGAGAACCTTTGTATATTCGCTGTTTGTACTCCCTTTTGAAATAGCAATGTATATGAGTTTTACTTTAAGTTTTGGATTATGGTTATACTTATTCTTGTGATTTTATTCCGGTTTTTATTGAGGTATGACTGAGTTCCGGCGAGAGTTGGGCAGGAGATCCGCCGAATCCTTTGGTTCGTCTTAGGGGGAGGTGGGGCTGTCACATCTTGACCGTTGACTATAATTCAAGGAAAATAGGGCAGCAAGTGCTTAACATCTGAAAGCAGAGCCGCAGAGACTCAAGCTGCAAATTCCTTTCTAACTTCTCTTCTCCATCTAATGCTTAATGTTTTCGCCATTTTCAAGCTTGCAAACATAAACAAATAGACTTCAAAATTCTTTCTTAATTTTTGCCTTTCTCATTCTCCTAAGTCTTATCAACTTTGACAAGAATTAGTTTTGCAGCTGCTCTTCATCACATTTTTTATACGTAAGTTCTAATTTTCTCTATCTAATTTCATCTTATATTTATGTGATTCTTTTTTTGATTGGTTGTTGAATTATTCCTTAACTCATAACTTTAGATGTATCTACTTAAATGGGTTCTTTTTTTGGAACCTATTAGGTGTTTGTGAAAATGTCTGTTAGGAAAATTTTTAGTAATAATAGTTGAAACTCTTTAGGAATTTCCTCTCAACCTCGTTTGCTAGCATCTAGCATGTTTTATTTTTAACATCAAAATCATGACCTAAACGGATGCTAGAAAAAATAGTTTTACACATATTAATTATTATGGTTCTGACTAGCATTAGAAGCTATAAGTTGGGAACTTGAATGGTTTCTTTTAACAATTTCTTATTGATGAATGATTTCTTAGAAGTTTGAAAATCAAATTTTGTTACTATTCTCTTTTGCCTATCAGCTTGTTTGCTCGTCTTTCTTACTCATATTATTTTGAATACCTTATGCTAATTTTTGCTGGTATGATTACTTTTTAAAAAAAGTTGAGCTAATTAAATGATTACATTATACAATTCTTGAGCCTAATTTTCTTGCTTCATTTGGTACATTTTTTTTATCCAATGAATACTGGCTTGCATTTGTATTTTTTTTAGATGGATTCTATTGGAGAAACGCCTACAAGTGCAACACCAAATATTTCAAATTCAGAATCTCAACCTACAAGGGGAAAAACGGATCTAGCTTGGTCTCATTGTTTAGAAGGCTCTATATCTAATAAGAAAGTCAAATGTTTGACATGTCGTTACTGTGGAAAAAAGATACAGGATGGTGGTATCAATCGATTCAAGCAACACCTTGTAGGTGTAAAAGGAGAGACTTGTCCGTGTCCAAAAGTTGAACCACAAGTAAAATATGAAATGCAAAATAACTTACAAGCTGTGTCCAACAAAAAAAGCAGCTTGCAAAATCGTTTAAAAGCAAGTGACATGTACAACCAGTCTTCAAGACAATCTAAGGAGCAATTGTACATGCAAGATGAAGATGAGATTCAAGAGGTTCAACCAACTAGCACATCTAAAGAAGTAAAAGGAAAAGGACTTGCTCAAGATCATAAAAGAGGAAAGACAATTGGGACCATGAGGACAACCTACCATCAAGAGTGTTATGCAAAGTAAAGAGGCAAAGGAAAAGGTTGATTTAGCCATTTCAAAATGGCTGATTGATGCTTCAATCCCATTTAATGCAGCTAATTCAGCATATTATCAATCCATGTTTGATGCAGCTTGCTCTTATGGAACAGGTTACAAAGCTCCTAATTTCTATGATTTGTGTGGTTACTTATTAATAAAAAATGTTGAGCAAGTCAAGAACTTTGTTGATAGCTTTCGATCGACTTGGAAGGAAATAGGATGTACTATTATGGCAGATGAATGGACTGACCAAGAAAGAAGGACTCTCATAAACTTTTTAGCATATTGTCCAAGAGGAACAATATTTTTGAAGTCTGTTGATGCCTTAGATAATTCAAAAACTGCAGACATGTTGTACAAATTATTTAGAGAAGTTGTGTTATTCGTGGGTGTGGAACACGTGGTGCATGTTGTCACTGATAATGCTGCGAATTATGTTGCTGTCGGGAGATTATTAGAAAGGAAATTTCCAACACTTTATTGGTCTCCATGTGCTGCTCACTACCTAAACTTGATGTTGCAAGATGTTGGTAAGCTAGATGAGGTAGGTAAGGTGGTTGGACATGCTTCTAAGATAACAAAATATATATATAACCATTGTTATCTGTTGTATTTGATGAGAAAACACAATGGAGGGAGAGAAATAATTCGTCCTGCTCCTACACGCTTTACTACTAATTTCATTGCCTTGCAAAGCATTTTGCTACAAAAGGATGCCTTGAGAGCCATGGTCACTTCAAAAGAATGGACTCTTTCTGCATATGCTAAGGAAAGTAAAGCAAAAAGGTTTGTGGATCTAGTATTGGAATCTATGTTTTGGCAAGAATGTGCTACAATAGTCCAATTAACATAGCCACTTGTATGGGGTTTTAAGACTTGTTGATAGTGATGAAAGGCCTTCAATGGGGTATTTGTATGCTGCTATGCATAAGGCAAGAGAAGAGTTGTTGAAAAGATTTGCAAAGAGAAAGAAAAGAGTTGACACTTATTTGAATATAATTGTCTCAAGATGGGATAACCAACTTCACAAAAATGTCCATGCTGCTGGTTTTTGGCTAAATCCTGCTTACCAATATGATTCTACTGAATTAGAGAAGCATAGATATACTACATCAGGACTTTTGGATGTGATTGAGAAATACTCGTATGAAAATTCTGATTTGATGACTCATTTAACAAGCGAAATGAAGCTGTTCGTAAAGCTGAAGGTGATTTTGGAAGAGTTTCTGCAATAAGAGATCGTAATTCCATGCTCTCAGGTATACGAATTAGTGAATTACAAACAAGAATTTCATTTTTGATTATTAGATTCCAATTTCATCTTCTAATTTTTTTTACTTATTTTCATAGATGAATGGTGGACATGTTATGGTAGTAGCGCGCCTCATTTGCAAAAATTAGTTATACATGTTTTAAGCCAAACTTGTAGTGCTTCTGGATGTGAAAGGAACTGGAGTATCTTTGAACATATCCACTCGAAAAAAATAAACAGATTGGAACATCAAAGATTGAATGACTTGGTTTATGTACACTATAACTTGAAATTACAGCAAAGGTATATTATTGCCTAGTTCTTATTGGAATTTCTGATTTTGCTCATTTTGGCTTGATATTTACATTAGCACTTTTTGTTGTTGCTTAGAAACGCAAGGGGAAGAAACTATAACCCTATTGATTTTGGGGAGTTCGATACAAATGAGACTTGGATTTTAGAAGAAAAGCCTCCAACTTTGACTGTAGCTGAATTGGAAACTTTTAGGAATGAATTGGAAGCATGTGATATCCAAAGCAACTCACAAAATGGCAAGTAAATAAGTATTTTCACTTGTCTATTTTGTTCATTTAATTATTACTACATATGAGTGTTTGGTGTATATCTTTATTCTTTTGTTTTACTTTTGTAGAAGAAATTTTGAATTTGGATGAAGTAGAAAGTGATGATGAAGATGATACCAACAATGAAAACAATGCTGAAGGAAATGAACTTAATCAAAACTGCATAGATGATCCAACTCAAGGGGGTTATGAATTTGGTAGTAGTTGGGAACCATGGAGATCAATAGTTCAGAAGATATGTTGTCATTGGTTCAATTTGTTATCTTTGTTTTTGTGTTTTTTTTGTTTAATGATTGGAAGCTTGAAAGTTACAAGTTTGAAACACTTGTTTTATGTTAATGTTAATGGATGAAACCGTTTGGAACTTTTGGGATATGTAATTAGGTATTATAATGTTTCAAGATGATGTAATGCAACTTTGAAGTTTGAAGTTTGAAGTAATTTATATTTTTACTATTTTGTATAATTTTAATTATTAGTAATATAAAATTATAAATATTTAATTATATTATTTTTAGGACCCGACAGTTCAACCAGTCGACCCTCGGTTGAACCACTAACCCGGTGACCCGGTCCCCCTTCCGGGTTGAGCTCCGGGCCGGGTTTAATAACTATGAGTGGAACCGTTAATGAAGACTTAATAGAAATAGATGAACTCATGTCAAACACAGAAAGTATTTATAGTATAATATCTTTAGAAAATAGCCATGATACAAATAGTGAAGATGAAGATTCTGAGTTTATAGAAGATATAACAGACCAAATGAATAACTTTGCACCTTACTTATCAAAACTTGTAGAAAATAATTGTACTCATAATTGGCTACATAGGCAAGGCACAAATAGTAAGCCATGCTTTAATTGTGAATGATATCCAGCAATAGAACTCAGGTTTCAATGTAATAATTGCATGATAGAAGCATGCAAATTTTGCCTACATAAGCTAGAATTTAGTTATAGTATAGAAAATAATAAAGGAAAAAATAAAATATGTGAAAACAAGCCGATGGAACATCACCTAGAAAGAAGGATACGAATACTTGAACATAAAGTAGATTTAATAGAAGAAAATCTAAATCATAATCAAATAGAAGAAAAAATAGAAGAAGTAAGAAGTATAGATAATATAGGACAACTCATCAAAATGATAGATTATGACAAAAGAACTAAAAAAATTTTTACAATAGAAATTAAAATTATAGTACAAGTAAAAAATTGGAAACATGAAGTAGAAGCCATAATAAACACAGGATGTACAATAATGTTGTTTTTATTACATTTGGTACAGAATTGTTAAAAACATGTTGATTTTTTCTTTAATCAACATTTTTCTTCCATGATATAGTATGATGGATAAATAAAATAGTGCTGTGAATATTACTAGAAATGGCTTTAAATTTTATCTTCTAAATTATATAATATGGATAATAAAAACTCATGAAGAAACAATATCTATTTCTTACATATAATGTGGTTTCTAGATCCATTATAGTCTTTTTGCACATATGGATAGTTAAAAGAATATATTTTCACAAAGGATGTTTATTACAGTTTTTGGGATTTTCTTTAACAATAGTGTTTCCTGATTTAACTAAATAAGGAAAATATGTGTAGGAGGATATATTTAGCTCCTACATATTATACCATGTTTGAATTGTTATATACTAGAAAATAAGTTTCTTTGATTTGTGTATTACATTATATACAAGACAAAATGTCATGGTCTGACCATTCAAAACTTAGGTTAATGAAGTGCTCACTTTAGACTTAATTATGAGCCATATGCCTATCTAGGTTTGGCCTCTCAAAACACAAAGTTCAAAGACAAATTTGAAAACTAATCAAAGAATATCCAAGTGCATTCTATGGCTTTGGTTCAAGTGAGTTATTAGTGTAAAATAAAATGCACTTAGACTCACAAGATGTAAGAAACCAAAAGAGGAAAATTGGATATTTATAGCTTATGAATCTTAGCAAAACATACATAAGATATACACACGACTTTTGAAGAAAAAACAACCAATTTCGAGTCTAAAGTTGGGCAAACGAAACTAGAGAGCATAATAGAAAAAATCATTATTTTTCCTCTTGTTTTACACATGGTTTTTGGACAAAATTCAGCCTATACACCACTACCAAGGTGGACTCGAGCAATCATAAGTAACCTATGTCCAAACTAACCCAAAATCACCCCTCTAATATCACTCATATTACAAGAAAGGAAGTAACAAAAATTTCAGCAGCACTTCCCCTTATTTCCTTAACTTTCCCTTCCAAACTCAACAGCTATATTCATAGCATTCCAACGTCAATCACAACCACAAGTTATAGGCTATAAAGTGCACTTGTTTAAGGTCACAAAACCACCCAAATAGCCAATTATCTAACTCAAGAACTACCCTAATAAAGCTGGAAAAAATATAACCCTAAGCTGAAATTTACAGCTTCAAACTGAAATTTTCTATAATGAAGCCAAAATAACGTATAAAAACTAGAAAATTCACATGGCAAGGCTGATAGATTGTAGCCAAGCTCAAATCATCATATCAAAGTTGAAATTTCTCACTCAAAGCTGGAATTTTCCAACCACCACACAAGCCACAATTTTTCCATGAAAACTACCAAAATCAAGCCTTAAATTTACTCATATGCATGTAATAAAAGAGAAGATAGTTTCTTGATATAGTTACCTTGAAACCCTAAGAATAAATGGAAACCAAGAGCTTCTTTCTCCCAAATCTCTCCACCAAAGTCCTTAATCCTTCCTAAATGTCACTTTTTATGGTTTGGATTGCAAGTTTATGGTGAAAACTCAAGGATTCAAGCAAGATTTGGAGGTTGAAGATGAAGTTTTTCTCTCTTTTTTTTCCTCAAGAGGGTCACCCAAGAAGAAAGGAAATATGATAGATTTTTGGTCAATTTTTTTGTTAATTAAAGGTTAAGAAAGGTCTTTGTCAAAGTCAAAACTCCTTGGCTTTGGTGACACTTGGCTTTCCAAGATTAATTCTCATCTATTTGTCTTCCAAATGCTAAAATATTTAATCAATCTCTAATTATCTCTTAACACCTTATAAAATAATATCCCTTTGCACAAAACTCCTCTTAATCTTTAAAAATTTGTCACACACAAACGAACTTAACATGCACTAACTTATACAAGAAAAATGGTTAAAAATCTTAACTCTCTTATAAAAATATTTAGGAAATTAAGGCAATAAAGTAAAGTAAAGAAAATGTATTCAAAGAAATAAAATCCACTCTTGAATTAATCATTTGTCGTAATTCTGATGTTATTTCTAAGGTTGGTTTTTTTAGTATGGTAATGCCTTTTCTTGTTAGTATCATACCATGATAATAGTAGAACAAGAAATCTAGTCCTATTATAAGTTGAAATCTTATGGGCCTTATATATATTTTATCTAAATAATAAGGAGTACTGTATAAATCATTGTGTTTAAATTAAAATTTTACTTGTCTTACTGATGTATTATAAGTATAAAACTTACCATCCATTTGTTTGGTTGCTACAACTTATGAGGCATTTGTATGATATTCTATTGGTACTATTGTACTGTTTAAAACTGTATTTCTACATCCTGTGTCTATTATGACTTCTACTTCATGTTTCCAATTTTTATTTGTACTATGAGTTTAATTTTTATTGTAAAAAATTTTTTAGTTCTTTTGTCATAATCTATTATTTCGTATCCTTCTTTCTAGGTGATATTCTATCGGCTCATTTTCATATATTTCAATTTTTCCTTTATTATTTTCTATACTATAAATAAATTCTGGTTTATCTAGACAAAGTTTGCATGCTGCTATCATGCAGTTATTACATTGAAACCTGAGTTCTATTGCAAGATATCTTTCATAATTAAAGCATGGCTTACTATCTATGCCTTGCCTATGTAACCAATTATGACTACAATTATTTTCTACAAGTTCTGATAAGTAAGGTGTAAAATTATTCATTTGGTCTGTTATATCTTCTATAAACTTAGATTCTTCATCTTCACTATTTGTATCTTGGCTATATTCTAAAGATATTATACTATAAATACTTTCTATGTCTCTCATGTGTTCATCTACTTCTATTAAGTTTTCATTAACAGTCTCCACTAGTTGGCTTTGTTTATTATACAAATTTTTCCTTCTTGGATAATTTGTTGCTAAGTGATCTGGTTCTCCACATGCATAACAATTTAGTTTATTTATATATTTTCTATTTGGTCTATATTTTCTAATATGTTTTTCTTTTTGTAAATATGGTTTTCTAGCTCTAGATTTTCTAAGACAATATTTCTTTTTAGGAGTATATCTTTTCTTATATTTTTTAAATTTCTTTTCTATTTTATCATAATTCTGGGGTGTATAAATTTTTTTACAAAAACTGTGC